AGCAAACCCTCAAACCCACGAAATCAACAGAACGATAGTCCTCGAAATTGAATAAAAGTAAGCGTAGGGTTACGGTAGCTGCTACTAATACGCAAGTGCAGACCGCTACCAGTGTGTAAATAGGTAGCACCGTTGCGCGAAGCGTCATGATTGGAATATCGTAGGTTGCCCAACGCGCAATGTCCACACATTGACGAAGCGGTCGCTTTGACGTACTCCGTCATGTATCCGCGTTTATCAACTTCCTACGCCATGTCTCTTTATATCCTAGTCCACCTTGCGTATGCAATTTGTCCATAATAGCTTCTAGCGTCAATCAATAATGGGTGATTGGCATGGCACACACGCGCCATTTCTGCATATCACTAATCAATAAGCGGTGCTGGTGAGCACTCACCTCTACATTTTCCAGTTAATCTTCTTCATCGATTTTTCTTTACTGTTGCATTACTCTATTAATACCTATTTAAACTTTTGCTTGTGATTCATAAAAAATACTTCTGAAGAGTCGGTCGGTGATTACTTTCTGTACATCAACATGAATTTTGAACCTTAGTCGCTGTGGTCTTCAACGAAATATTACGTAAATCAAAACTAAGTTCGTGTTTGTGTCAGTTACTTATCTTCAAACTTTTTGTATAAGAACAGATCGCTGAGAAAATGTTCACGAGTCGCTTCAACGCTATTCGCCCAGAACCCATGTGCAGCATTTGGTTAGTTATTCAGTATATCACCATTTTTATTATATTTTGCGTGTTATGCACTATGTTGATTACTCAAATGCCTCCTGTCATTTCAGTGGCGAGGCCGGGGCCATACCAGATCATTTCTTCTGTATAAGATGTCTTCCGATGGTAATCGACGTGGCCGATGTTGTCTTTAGCGATGCCCTCACTCGCAAGGGAGGAGAACGGCTTTGCAGCAGTTGTCGTGTATGTTTTCTTTAACTTGTATATAAAGAACGGGGAAAAAGGAAGAGTGATCACTTAGCATAGATCTTTATACTCCTAGAAGATAGTGTTTGGCGGTCAATGTGGGTTTAATTTTAGGCTGATCTGAAACCGGTTCTCATGTCAAAACTCCTTGACAACTTCTTTCAAACGTTTCGTCCTGACTTTGAAAACGGTAAGTCAGCAAATCATTGCTCATTTGAGATGCTTCATAAGAGGTAGCCGTTTGCGCAAGCTTCAGGAAATAAAACGTTTTCTAGGACTGAGGAAAATAAGTTGTATAATCACATTGCATAGTGTTTTTGACCAATCAAATATTTGACAATGTCAAGACTACATCTCTTTAAGTTCCTGGCGTGTCCGCTCGTGCAATATGCAGTATTGATCCATTCATCTGTTCTCTTCATCATACTATTTCTGATTCCTTGTAAAAGCAGACGGTGTCATGAGAAGGGAGTCAAATTCAAAATCGAGGAACAGTTTTCTCTCAGAGCCTGCAATCGCGATGTGGTTATAAATGTCCATAGAGCACAGCTAGCTACAGTAATCTGCCTGCGTGCAACGTGTTTGTCCCGTCGCGAATGATGCATCCGCGAGTAACATTGGCTCATCCGGGGTTGCACGCGGCAAATTGTGCAGCAGAACGCGCGGCGGTTTGGACGATTCCGCCCTTTACCGCTACGGTGCGCCTTCTTAAGGTGTTAGAATACAAGAAGCATTCTTTTCCGAGGCAAGGAATAGTCAATGTTCACTGGATGATACCTCAATTATTTCTTTTTGTACGGTGCCATTTCACTTCTGTTACTATTTTTCGAACTTTAGCAGCCTTGTGTTGAAAGCGGTCATTTGCCCAGTGAATTCCGAACAGAATGTTTACTCGCCTTCCACCTATGGATACCACTAAGTACAATATCGGGCGAAAGCCTAGATTAGGGGATTATATTGGCGTTTTTATTTTCCCCCATTACGTTTCTCATGAATTTTCCCAGCTTACCCTGCGAATTTACTTCCATAATCATATCCACCTAATCTTGGCGTACAACTCATGATCAGTTCAAAGTGCATTTTAGAAATTTGACCATTATATAGCAGTGGATTTGTGAAACTTACTGTTTTGTTCGTTGCAACGTTATAGTTTTGGGAGGAAATTCAATAACAATCTAGTATCACCTCCTTGATTCCGCTTTAGCTTTGTGTAGGTGCGNGTACCAGAGATAATAGTCTGTTTCACTTTGGTCACACCAACCAAGCTAACAATTTCTTTTTTCACGCGAACTCTGTTTACGTCTCCAACAAATTTAATTCAATTTCAAGACTGTATGGTTTTCGGTTATTCCAAGTCGAATCCAGTCTGATGGGAGTTTCTAGCTGGGAGATGGGAGTCAGAATAGTGGCGGTTGGCGTGATGGTGCTAGTAGTTGTTCATTGCCTTTGGTCACGCTCTGTATATCCTCTGTTCTTAATATCAGCTAGAAACCCCTGTCTGAAGCCAGGTCCAACAGTGGCTGGAGAAGGTCCAGAAGGCGGCTCCTTACCCCTCTCTATGATCCAATTCTACTGGTAAAGCTGTTGAAGCCGGCAGTAACGATGAATCCTGTAAATCCTTTAAAATTTTTCTATCTATATTTTCTGCAATTTTTTTCATGTAGGCCGCGTCACATCGCCCACCCCGGTGTCGCTGACTATTATTAAGTGTATTATGGAGCTTTTGGTGAGAGAGGTAAGTTAAATCTTTTGTCTTTTGTACTTCTTGTGTATCAATGTCTAGGGCGAATTTGTCGAAGAAATCGAAGAAATGATTGGAAAATGTGGACACTTGGCTATGGTTGGAGAAGAACGCGACAAAGAGACTGAAAAAAGTGCTTCTGAAAAGGATGGAGAGCAAGGAGAAGAAGAGATGGTAGTAAATGTTGCCTCTGAGGATGGCGATGAAGACGAAGAAGTTGGAGAAAATGTTCTCGCCGAAGACGGAGATGGGGACGGAGAAGAGAACGCACGTGAAGCTCCCGAGGAGGATGGAAAAGAAAGCGGAAAAGCGCTCGCAGAAAATGTTTCCACTATGGAATTCGAAGAAAACGAAGAAGTGGGGGAAGGGGACGGAGACGAAGGTTTCGCCAAGGGTGAAGAAGTAGGCAAAAAAGACGTAGGAAATGAAAATAACCTTCCCTCTATGGATGGAGAAGAAAACGGAGAGGAGGATGAAGATGAGGTTTTCGCCAAGGGTGGAGAAGAAGGAGTAACAGAGGTTGTGGAAGATGTGTTTGCCAAATTAGTAGAAGAAGAACGTGGGAAAGCCACCATTGATAATGCTTTCGCTAAGGATGGTGGAGAAGGCGAAGGAGAGACCACCGAATATGCTCCCACCGAAGATGGAAAAGAAGGTGAAAAAAGGATGTGTGATTATATTTTCGCTGAGCATGAGAAAGAAGACGAGGAAGTAACCGGAGAGCCTATTCTCGATAAGAATGAAGAAGACGATGAAAATATGACGGGAGATCATGTTGTTGGTAAGGAAATAATTAGAAAAATGTAGAAAAGTAACGGAATATAAAGTTTTTGTTAAGGGCAATTGGAGGTGAATCCGAATGCTAATGAGAACGACGGGATATATGATGAGTGAGCTGCTGTACCTGTAGATTGCTATGGCCATGTTGATTCTGTTATAGGTGGCCATCTGTTTTGCTGTACTCAATTATTATAATCTGTATTATGTTTTTTTTGTGTTTTTAATTCTTTATCATTTTCATTTTGGATACCATTTTTCTTCATTTAAATTGGTAGTCTACACATGCCTGCACTCCTGGTTATTTAGGTGAGATGAAGTGTCTAACAATGAGAGTTGTGGTAACTTCTCCCCGAACTTCTAGGTGGCCATCTGTTTCGCTGTACTCAGTATATACAATCTGTATTATGTTTATTTCTGTATTTTTTGATAAACTTGCAGAAGAGTGTCGGTCATAATATATAGCACTTCTGTTTTGAAGCACTATTCCTCCGCAGTTGAACAGATACGGTTCACATGCTTTACCCTTGGCTATTTAGGTGAGATGATGTGTCTAACTGGGGTGGCGGAACTTCTCCCCGAATTCCCACGGCCAGCGGCAGTGGTTCCGCTGCGGCTGTCGTATCCTTCCACTGGGGATTTCAAATCTCTCCCTTTATAGTGCGCGATCGCGTGCCGCGAGCGCGACGCGCCGTTCGGGGAAAAGATA